AAGTAGTTGATGCTCTTAGCAGACTATCTATGGGTAGTGTAGCGCATGTTGAGGAAGAAAGAAGGGAGTTAGTAAAAGATGTTCACCGGCCTGCTCGCTTAGGAGTTTGCCTTATGAACTTATCATATGATGGTGTGACCGTTAAGAATGGGTCAAATATTCATTAGTAGCGGAGGTTAAGGAAAAACAAGACAGTGATCCGATATTGCTTCAATGGAAGGGTGAAGCTCATCAGTAGAAAGTTGAGGTTTTCTCCCAAGGGGGAGATGATGTGCTTCGCTACCAGGGTCGTTTATGTGTTCCTAAGGTTGGTGAGTTGAGAAAATAGATCATTACAGAATCCCATAACTCCAGGTATTCTATTCATCCGGGTGCCACTAAGATGTACTGAGAATTGCGGAAAGTCTTTTGGTGGAATGACATGAAAAGGGATATAGCAGATTTTGTGGCTAAGTGCCCCAATTATCAAAATGTAATGGTAGAACATCAAAAACCAGGAGGTATGACTCAAGAGAACAACACTCCTACATGGATGTGGGAAGTGATCAACATGGACTTCATTACAGGTTTACCTTGTACTCGCAAGCAACATGACTTAATTTTGGTAATAGTAGACAGAGTTACTAAGTCCGCTCACTTTTTGGCTATTAAGACCACAGATTCGACGGAGGACTTTTCTAGGCTTTAAATTAATGAGATAGTCAGGCTTCATAAGGCTCCCTTGTCTATCATCTCAAATAGAGGTCCTTAGTTTACCTCTCATTTCTGGAAATCATTTGAGAAAGGGTCTTGGTACCCATGATAACCTCAGTACAATATTTAATCCATAGACGAATGGTCAGGCAGAGCGTACCATTTAGACCTTAGATGACATGTTGAGAGCTTGCGTGATCGACTTCAAGGGCAGTTGGGATAATCATCTTCCTTTTATTGAGTTTGCCTACAACAATAACTACCATTCCAGGATTCTGATGGCCCCTTATAATGCATTGTATGGGCGTAGGTGCATATCTCCAGTTTGGTTGGTTTGAAGTAGGTGAAGAAGCCTTGATAGGGCCAGCTCATCAAGGATAGACTTAAGACAGCCCAGAGTCGTCAGAAGTCCTGTGCGGATGTAATGAGAAGGGACATGGAATTTGAATCGGTGATTGGGTTTTCTTGAAACTGTCACCTATGAAGGGGGTGATGAGATTTGGCAAAAAGGAGAAGCTAAGTCCTAGATATGTAAGCCCTTACAGGATCTTGAAAAGAGTTGGTAAAATGGCATATGAGTTAGAGTTTCCATAAGAACTAGCAACAGTGCATCCAGTCTTTCACATTTCCTTGTTGAAGAAGTGTGTGGGTCATCCAGCATCCATAGTACCTTTAGAGAGTGTGGCTGTGAAGGATATCCTCACTTATGAGGAGGACCACCGGAGCCTTCACGGGCTGTGGACCACCCCACGAGTTGTGGGAAGGCTCATGTACGATAGACAGAACCTCCCCAACTCAGGCATCAGACCAGGGAGCCCTCCACGGGCTGTGGTCTTGATGATGGGCCGTGGTCTTGATGATGGGCCAACTGAAGAACCACGTCAACCTTCACGGTCTGTGGTCCTTCACAAGGGACGTGGTAGGGCTTTGGTCAAACCGACCAGAACTAGTAGCTATTGGCCATGGACCACAACCCACTTGACGGTCCCTGTTCCTTGTGACGATCCGTCATAGGGCCCGTGGTCGGCCCTCGTCTGATTTTAAATGGGGTCATTTTGGTCTTTTCCCCTATAGATTGGACAGATAAACTACGTTGTTTAACCCCTAAACTACGTAGTTTTGGGAAGTTTAAGCTCTATAACTTAGTCAGAACCTACCCTAATCGATCATTCACCAAAATCAAGCGAAACTTAGAGAAAAAGAAGAGAAAGCAGTCGACCAAGCTCTCTCCAAGAACGCAATAGGTTTTCATCAATTCCAACCCCAAAATTGGATGATTTCTCTGTTAAATTTGTCACAAGGTATGTGGTATTTCACTGGTGGATTCCTTTCATTTACTACATCCCAAGATTTCAGTCAGAATCTTGATTCCCTGAATATTGCTTAGACCTAGGGTTTTTAGAACTTTAGACAATGGTTGTGATTTAGCTGTTAGGGTATTGCTAATCATATTAGGGAAAATTGTATATAATAGCAAACTATTAATTCAAATAAAATGCTATAAATATACTTTGATTTAATTGTACCCTATCCAAAACTATTGCTATTTTCGCCACTCTCCCTGGTGGAATCTCGCTCGCTACTCTCATTTGGTGGCAATCTCGCTCGCCTCTCTCACTTTATACAAAAACGCAAATGTATAAAAGGCGTTTTTGTTTGTATAAAGCGAGAGAAAATTGTATATATACATATATTTTTGTTCCCCTCTCCCAGATCTCGTTCGCCAATCTCCCAGATCTCGCTCGCTCGCTCACTCGCCTCTCTCACTTTATACAAACAGAAACGAAATGTATAAATTGCACTTCTGTTTGTATAAAGAGAGAGAAAATTGTATATACACATGCAAATACATATATCTTCGTCCTTTACACTTATAATTATACAATACAAATATTTCCCTGTCCAATTTTCTTTTGCCCTTCTCTCTTTCTCGTTTTATACATACACAGATTATAAAATTGATCTTTTGTATACAACTGCTTTTTTTTGTATATGTATAGCGAATTATACAACTGCCTTCTTTATATATGTATAGCGAATTATACATATACAAAAATATAGGTCTTAGGAGCTAATTTTTTCCAATTTTTTTGGATTATACAATTTTTACTTCAGATGTTTAGGTTTCGATATTGACTCTGCTACCTACGTTGGCATAAATTGAATTGTTATGATTTTTCTTTTGTGTCAATTCTTTATGTTGTACAATCTTCTCTGCTTTCTCTTCAACTCGATCATGTTGGACAACTTCTAATTTATTGAAGGGGCTTACCTATGTTATTTTGCTCAATCTGTGAGGCAACTGTGAGACCTTGACAGAACATAAGAGTTGCAATATTTGTATACGTTATACAACAATTTATGCTAACTAATGTTTCAGTAATAGTTTTCTTGGAGAATTATATTTGTAACAAAATAGTGACAGACACCCTAAATAATTATACAACGGTATTTATTGTATATGTATAGCGAATTGTACATATATATGTTTACTATGGAGCGCAATTATGCAAATTTTGATATAGCATACACATATGAATTTTGTGTTTGCTATATGTGAAAGTTGCTCATTTATTGTGTATTCGTAACAATGTTGCTTAGTTCTTACATGACTTTCAGAACCCTAGTTGTGTAGATTTGTTTAGTTCATGAATTGCACTGGCTAGGATAGATAAACAAATATACATGCCTTGGTTTTCAATGTTTCATTATCAATATTTAATGTTGCATTTTTTCATTTAGCATGTCATAATATCGAGCTATTCAGTATAATTCAGTTATGTTTTATTGAACCCATTTACAGTTGGGAGTAAACTTAACATCGAGTTGGACTAGGGGTCAGTCACCATCATAGTCCTATAACTACATGTCCCAATAGGTTTATAAGTCCCCTAGTGGGTATAATATTTAGTGATCACTCCAGTCATGCCTCTATACCCTTAGCAGGGTATATTGGGTACTCTCGATGAGGCGTATACATCAGACTCCATATTTAGCTCATGTGGTTTTATGTCCCAGCACCTCTAGTCAATTAGAGGCTTATTTCAGACATAGACAGATTTAACTTCAGTATTTGAGGTACAGTTCAGTAACTTTAACTCCGGCTTAGTATTTATTTATTCAGATTACTTTTGGGTATTCCCCATTTTCAGTTAATTATGGTTTTAAGCTTCCGCATAGTCTATTTTATTCGATAATCTTTTAGTATGCTTATGATATGCCAGCTCTGGGTTAGCTTAGGTTCACTCGTGATCCTAGGTCCCGTGTTTATGTCAAGGGGGTAGCCTCGGGGCGTGACACTATGTTCTTGACATAGGTTTGTCTCTCGCCTCAGTTATATAACAGGGTTAATAACATTTGAATATCTGAGTGAATCACCCTTTGTATTGTATGTCATGAAAGTTGATGCAACCACAACCAAAATTTTACCTTAAGTTTCAATATGTAAATATTTTTGCCCAAGGTTCCCATACTCGACTTCATCCTTGAGATACTTAATGGAAAATATATTTTCCCAATTTTAGCGGGGTTCGTCAATGAATTGGTTAAAATAAGTACCTTTTATTTCTTAAAAATTATGCTTAAAATAAAAAGGGAAAAGACTAAAATATGTCATCAAACTTTGAGAAAATGCTCATCTCTATTATCCGTTAAAAGTTTGGCTAATATATATTATTTTCATTTGAGAAATAGCTCAAATGAACGGCATAGAGCAGCCTTTTCTCAAAATTCGATGGCATATTTATGCTTTTTTCCTATTTAATATATCAGAAAATCATCTTTCTTCTTAATTCTAATTCATTCACAAAGAAAATAATTTTCTAATATCAATTAATTAATAAAATTTAATTAGTTCAGGATTTATCTGAAAATCTAAGATATTGATAAAAAGACAAAAAAATATACTCTGAATTTAGCCAGTCAATAAACTTCAGTCAAATTCAATTAAATTTTTGTAATTTACCTCCTTTCGAAATTGAAAAGTTCATTTATAGAAAAATGCATATGACACGTTTTAGCTTAAGCTAAAGATAACTTTCAATTAAATGTTTTCTCATCTACCAAAGAAGAATTGAGAAGAAAACTCAGATTTTGTTTCAATAATAAAAATTAAGCTTTTACTTGTAACTGTTGTTTTCTATTACACTTTAAAAAAGAAAAGAAAAGAAATAAATATCATCTTTATCCTATTTGAAGACCATATATACATACCTCATTGTCTAAATTCCTTTCTTGAAATGTTGTTGCAATTTTCTTTTCAACATTCTCAAAAGAGAACTTCTTTTTAATTTCTTGAAAATTTTGCAATGGCTAATTTCACAAAGGAAGAAACTGACATTATTGTGGTTGGAGCTGGACCATCTGGTATAGCTGTTTTAGCTTGTTTAAACAAATTGGACATAAACAATGTTGTTTTAGGAAAACAAGATTGTTGTGCTTATTTATGCAAGAAAAAGACTTATGATAGACTTCATTTGCATCTATTAAAGGACTTTTGTTCATTGCCATTTATGTCACATGCAATTTCATCACCTAAGTATATGTTGAAGAAAGAATTTATTCAATACTTAGATGAATATGTTGAGCATTTCAACATCACGCCAAAATTCCAAACTTGTGTTGAATCAGCTTTTTACAACAGTGGGGAAAAGAAATGGAATGACAAATCAAGAAATTTGACTAGCGGAGAAATTGAATTGTATGCTAGTGATTTCTTGATTTTGGCAACTGGAGAAAATAACGAAGGTTATATTCCAAAAATGGTAGGAATAGAAAATTTCAAAGGCGAAATAATCCATTTAAGTGATTATAGATCTGGTGAAAAATATAAAGATAAAAAGGTATTGGTTGTTGGATCAGGAAATTCTAGGATGGAGCTAGCTTTTGATCTTTCAAGTTATGAAAGTCACACATCAATTGTTGTTAGAAGTCCAGTAAGTCTCTCTATATCTTTATGCCTTATAATTACTTTTATCGTTATTTGTTTTCATGTGAGTAGGTTTCTGGTTGTTATAAAAAAATTAAATGGTGGTGTTCCATTAGTTTAGTTGTACATCAACTATTATACATGGTACTTGTTACTTTTTACTAGAATTTGTAATGTTGTAACTCGATTCATCAAGAGATTGGTATGGGTTTCTTGACCATCAACACCATGTCATATCCTTATGTGAAAGGGCCGGAATATGAACATGATTTCTCATGATTTTCATTCTACTTTGTTGACCACCCAGTCATATATACCATTGTGGTATTTCTTATCTAAAAAATAAAATTTTGAATTAGCTTCACCTTTAATAATTTCCACCGATTCGGCATTTGTGTTAAATTTCAAAAAAATACTCTCCAAGCACTATACAAAACTGTAAAAACAACTTCGATTCTGAATTCAAAGTTTATTTAATGAAATCAGTTGTTCTTTTAAAAGGGAATACTGATTGACTAGAAAGTGATTAAGGAATATTGTGTTGGATTATTGTAAATACAAAAATTTGGGATAGATATTTAAATATCCTAAAAACATAGAAATATCTCATTATTCCATTTCAAAATCGCACAAAATTAGAAATTTTAAATTCAGGTCTCATCGGGTATTTTATATCGTGAGAAAAAGAAGAGTAGGATTTGGAGAGGTGACAAGTTGTTTAGTATAAGTATAAACAACTCATATACTTTTTACATTGAGGAACTAAATTCGAAGAAAAAGAACTAGAGTTTCTTTTTCTTATAAATGGAATCTTGATTTTTGCTAAGTTTGTCATATTAACAATTTTATAGATCGTCATTTTCACTTGTTGCACAGATAACATATTTTACTTTTTAAGATTTTGAAACTCATAATTTGGAAGAAACTTCTCTATAAATATTAGTTAGATGACTTGATAAATGATAGTACAAAAAATTATTTGCACTAACTGTATATGAAATTTAGATTTCTCTTATAATTTAATCTTTCGTGCATTACTCATATATATTTCTTTTTTAGAACCCTTTATAATTCCAGTTACCAACTTTGATCTATGTTTTTGAATACTACAAGTTATATACAATTACATTATAATTGATCTGATTTTGTACTTCTTATTTAATATATCATCAAAATATGAAACTTACACCCGCAAATATGTTCATTATAGTTCATGATGTTTTGCCAAAGTGCTATAACATTTTTATAGTTAGATGATTGTAATGACCCGTAAAACGAATAGGTGAACCTATAGCCTAACTAGTGTATGTTGGAGTTGTTGTGGGGCTTTATGCGGTAGAATGTTGTCCCGAGCTTAGGTTGAGGGGTTTAGGGATTAAACGTCAAGGTATGACTCCCCAAGGACCACCCTAGGGGTCCTTGAGGAGGACCCTAAAGCCTAACCCCCAAGACCCCAAGGAAACTAAAATCTGAGCAAAAGTCATGACCTACAGATGGGGACCTATGCCCCGTAGGTCCATCCACACCCCGTGGATGGCCTCCGTGGGTCAAGGCCCCCAACACCAAGCTGCAGCCATGAGCCACGACTCAACAACATGGTTTGTGGACCCACCCACGATCCGTGGGTGGAATTTCATGAAAGGCACCTGCAATGCTGTCAAGGACTCAACCAAGGTGAGGGTAAGTTGGTATATTCATATTAAGTTTAGTTTAATTAATGGATAGTTATTATTGGTTTATTAAGATATTTTAAGAGTTTTAAAAGTATTAAACTCTATTTTAGAATTCATTATTTCAAATCACCCCAAGGTTAGAAACCTCCCCTCCAAAAGTTCTCTCTCTAGAAACCTCCATTGGAGGAGAAGGAAGCAAGCTTTGAAGGTCAAGTTTTCAACCTTTTGAAGTGATTTTCGTGATTTATTCCATAAAAGGTATGGTGGTCTTCATCCTTCACGTAGTTTCTTTCAAGGAGCCAATTTCAAGGTTGATTTCAAGTCTCCAATGTTTTCCCCAAAACCCTAGTTTTCAATCTATGCATGGGTTCGATTCCAAAAGTTTTTCAAAGGCTTTATTGCATTGAATTATGAATGAATTGTTGATTGAAAGGTGACTTAAGATGATTCTTCCTTGAACCCATGTTTTCCCCCAAATTCCTAAATTGTGATTTGTGATTGGGAATTGATTGATCATGATAGCATGTTGAATTATTTATGTTTATATTGATATAGATTATTGAAATTATGGTAATTCTCATGATTAATTATAGTGGTTCAATGTGTGTGGGTGAATGTGATCCATGGCCTTGAAAGGCAAGTTCATGAAGGATCTATGCATGAATATGATGTGAAGTATGTATGTGTGATCTCAATGAAAGTGTTATGATCATGATTAGAATGTAATAGTGTTATCATTGAAAGCATATTATCAATTAACACTCATGAATGATGATGACAAAATTTGAAGGGTTTTCTCCTATGTAATGTATATCATGAATTGGTAGGCCTATGCATCCTTTTCTTGAATGAATGAAAGTAATGTGATTATTGTATATTGAATTGGTAGGCTAAGGCATCCTTTTGTTGAATTGATGAATGTGATCATGAATGAAGTAACTTGAATTGGTAGGCTAAGGCACCCTCTTCTTGTATGGTGAATGTGTATTGACTTAATGACTATGAATCGATAGGCCTATGGAATTCCTTTCATAATTAAGCAATGAGCTAATGTAATGGCGACTCTTCAATCGATTGGCTTATGACATTCTTTTCCTAATGAGTCAATGTACCACGAATCGATAGGCTTATGGCATTCCTTTTATGAGTATGATAATGTAATGAGGAACGATGAATCGATAGGCTTATGGCATTCCTTTCATCAGGACTCTAGAGCTTTCCTAATAATGAACCATGATTCGATAGTCATATGGCATTCCTTTCACGTGTATTGATGTGACTTGGGTCGATAGGCCAAAGGCATTCCTGTCAAGTACAATAATGTAATGTGAACGAAATACTCTATGGGAATGTAAGCTAAGCACCGAGCGGATATGGTAAGATGGAAACTCTTCCAATGTTAGGTTAGAGTTCCAATGAACTTATTCCTATCCTATAACTATGTGCCCACATAGGTCCTAGCTAGTGGATCCACCTAAGCTAAATGTACCAGTCTTACCTTAGGCAAGTGGACCTCCTCTTTACGGTGTGGGGCTTTATGACACCGGATTCCATATCAAGCTCACATGGTCTATGTCGGTTAAATGCTTATTCCAATCATGTGAGATGTGCATTATGGTTTCTTGATGAGTTCTTTGAAGTGTGGGTGGTAGTATAAGATGTTATCCATGCATTGCACGAGTAGGCTTTAAGAGGGTCATAGTGAGTTCTCTAATGTCTTAATGACTATTGAATGAAAGTGCTCTAAATGAAGCTAATGAAGAATGTTGACTCTTATATGCTTAAATGAGATGATGCATGCTATACTTGGATTGTATTATGAGTTACTTCTTTGTCATGACTTATTGAGTATGAATGTGCCTTGTCTATGGTGGCTTCAAAGGAGTACTTAGTGTGAGTAGTAGTATGGGATGCTACTTGCACATTGCACAAGTATGACTTAAAGTTGCCCTAGATGATGGTCCCATTGTGTTGTTATGACTTATGAAATGTTTATGTCTCTTATGTATGAGTATTGTGTAAAGATGGAAAGGATGAATGGTAAGTTCACTTTTGGTGGCCCTAATGTGGTATCTAGTGTGGATGATGGTATGGGACGCAATTCATACATTGCACAAGGTATGGCTTGGGGTTACTTGAGGTGAAGGATTAATGTGATGAAATGGGTTATATGGTTGATTATGTCTCCAATGTGAAGAAATGACTTGTATGTTGGTTATGTTTGAATATTATGCCTCTTATACTTATGTTCATGAAGTTTTCTCAAATTGGCATAAAGCATGACTTTCAAATAAAATGTCCGTTTTAAGCATGGTTTTTGCATGGCTATCATACTTAGTACTTAATTGTGCTAACCCATATTTCTCTTATTTTACTACAAGTGTAGGTCCCGGCAAGTGAGTTGCTTTCTCTCTAGTTGAAGGGCTTGGATTGATATTCCTTCGAGGCTAAGTGGTATGTCCTCATAGATCGAGGACAAGTGCTTAGATGTTTCTTTTCTTTCATGTAATAGACATTTGTTAGACTTTCGATTGTAAAGGGTTGTGACCCTACTTTTGTTTCAGATATTGTTTTTAGATGGCCATATGAGACAATAGACTTCTGTTGTTTTAAATGAGTATTTTTTATTGTATGGATTTAAATGAGTTTTAATTCCGTACTATTTCTATTATCTATTGCAATAACATGCTATGAGGTTTGTAGGAGACTTTTCGGAGTCTTGTACGTCGTGTCGCATCTAGGGTATACCTTTGGGTCGTGACAAACATGGTATCAGAGCATAAGAGTTTGGGAAATGGTTTTTAAGATTGATGTCTCACAAGCCACGTCTAGTAGATTCTTGTTCATCGGTGTGAGTCACGACACATCTATGAGTGAGAAGCTATAAACGTTAGGAAGTTACACTTCTTTCATTATTCTTGAAGTCGTGCCTTATAGTTTAGCTCTATAAGTGCCCTTTCCCTAATCTTTCTCTTGTGTTTATAGGATATGAATAGTGGAAGAGGAGATCGTGAATGAGGGAGTTCCTCCCCAAGGTCCTCAAGGTGACCGAGTTCCTCAAGGCAACCAAGTTCCGGTTGAAGCTCCGACTATGACCAATGAGGCAGTTAGGTCGTCTCTTTTGATGATTGCTCAAGCCGTAACTACTCAAGCTCAAGCCATGACGGCTCAAGCTACTAGGAGTGTTAAGGCTAATGTGAACCCCAATGTGAGTACTATTACTTCTAGGTTGAGAGACTTTGTGAGGATGAATCCTTCAATGTTCCTAGGTTCTAAGGTGGGAGAGGATCCCCAAGAGTTTTTGGATGAGGTGTATAAGATAGTCAATGCTATGGGGGTGACTTCTATGGAAAAAGCGAAATTTGCCTCCTATCAATTGAAGGATGTTGCCTAAGTTTGTTTCACTCAATGGAAAAGCAATAGGCCTATAAGAGCGGGTCCTATAGAATGGGAGGAGTTTAAGAAAGCTTTCCTTGGTAGATACTATCCCCGTGAGAAGAGGGAATGTAAGGTGGAGGAGTTTATCAACCTTAGGCAAGGTAGCATGAGTGTTGAGGAGTATTCCTTGAGATTTACCCTATTGTCTAAGTATGCTCAATCTTTGGCATCCAACCCTAGGGATGAGATGAGTAGGTTTGTTACGGGTGTATCCAACCTAGTTGAGGAAGAGTGTCGTACGGCGATGCTCCATGATGACATGAACATTTCTATGCTTATGGTGTATGCTCAATCTATTGAGGAGTCCAAACTTAAGAGGAAGAATAGAGGGTTGAAGAGGTCTAGGCCCAATAAGCAAGGTAAACCTAGGTTCAAGAAGAGAGCTCAAAACCAAGATTCTTCAAGCTCTCCTAAGGTTAACCAAGAGTAAGGAAGGAGGTCTCCATTTCCTAAACCCATTTGTGCCAATTGTGGAAAGAAACATTTGCCTAGCCGGTACTAGTGGGTGCTATGGGTGTGGAAAGAGTGATCATCAAGTGAGAAATTACCCTATTCTTACGGCCAAAGGAAGGGAGGCCAAACAAGTTTCTCTTAATGGCCCGGATCTTGATGCTCCAAAGAGAAATCGCTTCTATGCTCTTCAAGCTAACAAGGACAAAGGAGCTCATCCAGATAAAGGCACTGATATGTGATAGTTCCTTTTGGTTGCGAATGTCTTGTTGAGGTTCCTATGTTTTTTTTCATGTTAGCCTTACTTGGGTTTACTCCTAAGTGGGGGATAGCCTGTTGAATAGTAAGGTTGTTGAGAGTTCCGATATCCTTATCTCTTTCCTTCTATTCTTATTCAAGCTAGAGACCAAGAGTTCCTTGTAGCTTGTTTCATGTTTTGGAGTCATGTGTGGATATGTGTTCCCATTATCTCCTTATGATATGCATGTTCTTAATGAGTTTATGTTTAAATGAGAAAATGAGTCTATATGAATTATGTTCCTCATGTTGATGTACATTTAGTATGAGTTGTCTATATGCTTCATGAGGTGAATTGTTGAACATGCCTAAATGTGCTTCTATGATGAAATTGCATAATGTGCCTAATAATGTTATGATGAGCATGATATGGGTTGGAGAAGGTAATTCCTCCAATGAAATGACAAATGTTGAAGTTTTCATGCATAATGAGTTTGTAGATGTAGTTCCTATTTTTTTTTAGTTTCATGGAGTATGTTTGAGATGGAATTGATGTTTCCTCCTAGTTTTGTGCATTGTTTATGATGTTGCATGCATGATGGGATGCTAGTCTTGAGTTGTTAACACCTTAATGTGTTTAAAGTGTCATTCGAGGACGAATGTTCCTAAGTGGGGGATAATGTAACGACCCATAAAATGAATAGGTGAAGCTAGAGCCTAACTAGTGTGTGTTTGAGTTGTTATGGGGTTTTATGTGGTATAATGTTGTCCCGAGCTTTGGTTGAGGGGTTTAGGGGTTAAATGTCAAGGTACGACTCCCCAAGGACCACCCTGGGGGTCCTTGAAAAGGACCCTAAAGCCTAACCCCCAAGACCTCGATAACTACACTGATGCAACAAACTTTGGAGTCCTATGTTTTAGATAGCCAAGATGCTTCATAGGTACCTGCACATAGTCCTTTGGCCCATTTCTTCTCAACCGACAATAATTGCAATGAAATGAGACCATAATGAGCCTGAAAATTGGATGTTTGCCAAGGACTAGAAGTCTCTTTAAGATAAGGCCAAATTCATAGTACCTTGACTAATAGCATAACTAGCAACTCAGCCACCGACTCTTTGTTTCTCTTCCCATAGCTCACAAACTTATGCAACGTCTTTGCTACATCATCTGGATCAGTGCCATCTAGAACATTTATAAGCCAAGAAATTTCACCAAGCTACTGAAAACAAAAACTCATGAAAAGCCAAAAGCAAAGAGAAAAGTGCCAAAAATCAAACAAGGAAACAAGTGCTAAAACTATAACTGTCAAGTTATGTATAAGAAAAAAGAATTATGAGCATGTATCACTGCATTTACAGCCTCACAAATGAAAGATTTTTCATACACATCCAGTTTTGATGCTTAGGGTCCTATATATTTCTTCAAAAGGAGTATTTCTATCATGATCCTGACTCCTGAGAATTTTTCTTTTCTACTACAGTACTTCCAACACTCTGTACTGATACTAAAATAAGTACATCCATTCCAAAAGGCGTTCGATAACTGAAAAAAGTAAAGCTTCATAGTTGCCTTCTAATATGGCAGAAAATAGCGGCAGTATTGGAGGATTTTGTGTCTGTGAAGTTCACAACCCCAAATGAATGAAAAAAATAGATTATTAACTAAACAACTACATTAATATCCCTCTTGAAAGAAATATACATATACAAAACAAATAAGCAAAAAGGCATTTCAGAAACATTGAAAGTCATTCTTAATAAGCTATGGCCTTCCTAAAAAGCATGGTCTTTTATTTTTAGGGATAAAAAGGGTTAAATACAGCAAAAAGAAGTTTACAAGAGCAACACCGTTGTCCCCTTGTACTAGAGGGTGCTTTAAAAAAGGTTCACCAAACCATCTTTTTCTTTCTCCTTTATTCTTTGGATAAGGCAAAGTAAATTTCATTAAATAGTACCAAGAAGGTGTTGCAAGTCTACAAAAGTACAAAAAGTAAATTTCTCTTACGTTTAGTGTTTTATAAGTTGAAACAATACAAACTTGGTGTTGTAAGAATACTGTAACAAACTGGGCATTTTATTGTTCTTGCAATAGCCTCCTTAGAGGATATTGTTGATAGCATATTATACACATTTCACTAGAGTCAATTTTCTTCTAATAAGGTAAATACATTATTCATAACTATTACAAATTTTACGCAAGGTTATGTAAAGTATTAAATCACTAGTAGCTCCTACGTTAGCAGACTGATTAACAAATATAACAAAACATTCACCTGAAGGCACAATCCGTATTGACTCAATATGATCAGCATGCAAGTTGCATAATATGTAATCAAGAAACAAAGAGAAAGATGGAAACAGAGAAATAAGTTGTACTTGGCTCATACCTGTAAACGAAAAACAACCAAAAATATTACAGATTATGAGTTCAAAGTTTTGTCCCTTGAGCTATTGATATTCTTTGCTTTTGCCCAAACTTTCATCTGCAAAATCAAAAGATCATATAACAACTGATATCTATCAGCATATACTAAATTAACCTCTGTATCTTCTTCTATGAATAGGAACAAATTAACATGAAGTTTAAACAACTCAGCCTTGCCTCTAAAGGAGGGGGGGGGGGGGGGGAGGGGAAGAGATATTATCACAATTTGTACTCAAAAAATGTACTAGTAGTCCTTGTCAAAGCAACGACTTTGATTTCCATGTTTTTTCTTTTTCTAACTTTTGTGTCAATTGAAAGTAACATGCATTCAACGTACTACAGAAGTCACATGGCCTTTCTAAACTTTAAAATTGCAGCCTTCTATTCATAAATATTCAGAAAATTATTCTTCACAGAAACAACTGTCAAATTCCTCACCAGTAAAGAATATAAGGAGATGACAGGCTTATGAACCTAGCGTAAGCAATATATTTCTGATAAGCTTATCCATCTAGCTACATAAAATTAGATACAATTAAAGTTCCACACCTTCCACTATATGTCAATTTACACAATGATACTAATTTTAGTTAGTGTTAAATTTACAGCCCACCACATCAACCCTCTTCCCCTCGAATCTTCACTGGGGTGATGCAGCAAGAATGTGCAGAAACTCCTAAGTTCATTTTATAGCATATCTTACGCTAAAATAAAGAATTTCTAGCAAAATGAAAAGAAACGACTTAAGAATGTTTATTGTAGAAAAGTGTCCACAATAAATAAAAGAAACAGTTTGGTGATTTCCGCAGCACAAAAGAGAGATCATGCAATGATTAAATAAGCTATGGAAACTACTTCGATGACACTTCATCAACATAACTTGACTTAGTTTTTTCTTCCTCTAACTGAAGTTCTCTCATCAATAAACAGTCATGGCAGATCACATAACCTAATAGTTTCTTTGTTAAGGCTATAGATATAGATAAATATTTTATACTCCTCCAATGTTTGGAGTAAGTAGGATTTAGTGTCGTTTACATGTTTTACGAGTTAACATGAATCGAAAGGATAAAATACATTCAAAAAGATATTTAAAGTATTTAAAAGAAACTTATCTCTTTAGTTAGTTTTGTTTGTTTGCTATGTTCTAAAACGATGCAAGTCTTTGTGGAATAACTAATTGATGCACCTTCTGATTTTTCTTCCTTTTAATTTGAAATTTTGATTTATGCTACTAAAAGAGGCTATCGGCTCATTTTGTTTCTTTTTTTCCTTCTCTTTAATCTTCCACTTCCATTGTCCTGTTTGGTAACACACCATGTTTTTTTGGCTTCCAAAATAGAAGGCATAGTCCTAACTTGTGTACATCCTTTTAGTTGCTTTGTATTGTATATCTCATGGGGCATATGATGGGAATTTTCATTCTGAATGTACTTCAAGTCAAGCTAGAGAAAGTGATATAATGGCTATCCTATTCATTTATGTTGTAGGAACACATGTAATTGTGTCAAGAATTATAGCCCTGTGGTATTGCTACGATGCATTAAGGAATCAAATAAGAGGCCTTCCAAACTATTGAACAACTGTGCATATTGCAAACCTACAAGAGATTGCAGAATCATACCAAAATCTTTCATCAAGTGAACACATCACGTGGATTATCTTAGATTTTGAAATTACATCCCTATTTTCAATTGATATATCGCACTCGATTCTCATACCACAATCAACAAGTTTCAGAATGGGCACCTTGGCCGCTGTTATTGGATGAACACCAGAAGCATGCCCACATCGTGAAGCAAGAAAAATCACAGATAAAAAAAGACAAAACACACTAAATCCTAAAAGTTAAAAATAAAATGCTAAATGGAATAAATATATGCAAAGAATTCATATAGTCACAAAAAAATAAACAAAACATGAGGAGACACCCTACAAATTTCCAGTTTTAGGGTTTTTTTTACATTTCCTGGTCTTTTTTTCTGCTTTTCTTATGATATTAAGCTATTTCTATAATTAAACAATAAAATTACATGTAGTATAGATATCTCTTGCATTCCCTCATTGCTATAGCCTTATGATATACATCTTTCTTCACCATTTGGTTGTTTCCCATTGAAATTTCACCTTTTTCTTTTTTCCTTCTTTTTTTTTTGGGACAAGTGCCATTGAACTTTCTCTTCCAACAGAATTATGATTGGATGTATATATGAGGGAAGGGGATAAATTATCCATCATTTGGCAAATGTACAAATTTTAAAAAAATGCATATGAAGTTTACCAGACTTCTTTAAGATATATAATTGTTTCCTTCCTTTTCTTGACATCTCCTTTCTTCTTCTTTTATCTCCTATAAGTTCTAACTAAGAAAGCATTAACTCTTTCCACTTACTCATGACAAGACAAATATTTTTCGTGAAAAATCTTCAGTATGTTCAATTTGCAACAACATTGCAGAGAGCCTCTTTAGTACTTCTATGTGTTGACTATATTAAATATCAAGATCCTTCTACACTTTCTTTTTTCTTATCAATGCAATTTATTTCTTGTTTTTCACAATTTTCTTGTGGACGGTATT